GTGACTGCAGGAAGTTGAAGGGCAGTTTGGAGTGGAAATGTCAGCTGACTCTGTGATTCACTTGGTAGAAAATTTGGATGCTAACAGTGACACCAGTGGTCAACCTGTGTCACAAAATGTGCAGACTCTATGTGTAGCCAACATTGAGACAGTAACAGAGGTAACACTCATTTTTAAAATTGCATGTTTATTCACAGTTGCCTTCCTCATCACCCATAATTTGGTATTACAGATATTAAATTTGCTTATTAACTAAACACATTGCCTACCTAAATGCTTTTTCTAAATGTTGAATGTTTTTAAGGTGGATAGTGTGGGCTGCCATTTCTATTTCATGTTTTAAATCGTCAAAGTTTAAACTTCTGCTACATATGAAGTGAGCTGTGTTAGCACATATTATTGTGAGAATATGTGGTGTCATACAGCATTATGTTTGGGAAAAATGAGGCACATAACCCTGACTACATTCAGCTAAGAACATTTATGTGTTATGCTTCCAACTTATTTTGAAAATCAATCCTGTAATTGCATAACTGGATTGTTTTTCTTGTAATAAGGGAACACTTATAAAAGGAAAAAAAATTATCATTTGAAGTTGTTAAAAACTCCTGACTTCATTTTGTCATATTACAAAACAAATGCCATAAAATTATTTAAAAACTTCTTGATGGAGAAACATCTGTTGCTCATCAATTGAACCATTTCAGCATTTATCCATTAATGCTTCATGATCATCAAAAAATGCATCCAGTCCTGCTATTTCAGGTTAGCCTGTTATTTGTAGAGTGTCTTTCTGTAACATTGTACCATTTCTATACAGTCTTTTTCACCATGAGAGACAGTGTTTTCTCATGCATCAGCTGTAATTGCTGCACATTAAAGGGTACTGTAAATTACAGATGCCACTGACACCAGAATTTGAAGCTGAGCAGATTACAGGAGACATTCAGGACATCAAAGAACCTCAAGAACTTAAATTCAAAATTGGAGAAGATGTGGCTTCATAGAAATTGCACGTATTGAAAATTTATGTTGGGACCCAACCTTCTGTTTTAAAACTTTGAAAGGACATGGGTGTAATTTGTCTTCAAAGTATAAACGTAAATCTATCCTGCTATGCACTGTGTAGGTGCTCAGGGAGAGAGGATGTATAGCTCCTACTCATTCTCAATCTCGGCACTAGATGGTACTGAGTGGTCAATGTCATTCGTCAGCCATGCTTTACCCCTGGGGAAAGTACCCCTGGTACCCATTGGACAGGAGGACTGGCTAGGCCCCAGCGCTGGTTTGGATGCAGAGGCTAGAAGGAAATCGTCTGCACCTGTTGGGGATTGTGCTGCAATCGTCCAGCCTGTAGTCAGTCACTGTACTGACTGAACTACCTGGCTCTCTTTTATGAACTTACAGACTACATTATAGTGGGGATCCAGTTACAGATATGTTTTCCATGAAAATGCTTAGTTCTATAATATAACTGTTTTGATTTCAAACTTATTGTAGATGTACTTAATGGTTATTATAATCTCTGATTCGTTTTTTATACTATGTTCTGTCTAAGTGAGATCACAGTACTTTTCTGTACCACAGTACAGACATTCAGATTGAGGCATTTATGTTCAAATGTTTGCAGTATTATATCCATATGTATGTGGCAGCTTTTATGACATATTTTCTTCAAAATCTCCTCTCTGATGAGAAAGCTGAGTGTAAACAAATTATACTGTTTACTCTCATCTCTCTGTGTGTCTGTAGGTTCTTACTAATTATATTATCAACAGGTGGCAAAAATTGTCTGCATCTCTGTGTTGGCAGAATTCAGTTTTGTGTATACAATTTCTTTAGTGTTCCTGTAAATAATGAGGAAATCCTTATGATTTCACTTAAAGAGTCAAGACTAAACATATTGATTAACAATCAGTATAATAAGGGCTTAAAGACACACAAGTGGCCAAATACTCATTTATGTATGTGTGGGTTTTACTGTATACGAGATGTTCTCTGTTAGATTCTATCATGTTGTGCATGTATAGAACTGATTTTGATAACAAAGTATTATTGTACAGTATATTTATTTTTGTAAGCATATGTGCATAAATAAATAGATATTACTTTTGTATGGAAACTATTAGCCCATTATTTATTAGATGTAGAAGGAGAAGCTAATGTCATTATGTATGTACCAACAAGGTAATATGAAATATCAGGGCAGTTGATGTCTTTGTTAGTTTTTATTTTTGCTATAAGTGACATGTCATATTTCATGTATATATAGATCATAAATATAGGTCAGAATCAGAAACTTTTTTCATTTGGTTAAAATTGCAAAACTTGTGATGATGTCAAACTATGAGCTTACATCTTACAAATGCATTCAGTCATAGTATGTGGATGTGTTTAATACAAGTGTGTCAGTGAATAGCTTATACTTGAAGCTGGATTACTGTCAATATCAACTGACATCCTTTCCCTGTCTGGTATTCCTCTCTTCACACAGTAGAGATTGAACATTCACGTTTGTAGCTCAAAGGGCAGCATTTGTCAGAAATGGTCTTATCTCCGCATGACACAATAGCCATTTTTATTGTCTTCTTGGCTTTTTAAAGTCACTTACAGGGTATCTGAAAGGATTGAAGTGCTGGTGATATGTTAGTTAATACTCTTACATTTATTTTATTATTTTAATATGTGCACTACAAGATTCAATTTTAATTGTAGACTGAGTGAACATTGGACTAAGACAAAAGTCTCAGTCTATCAGGGGACCTCCTTGAAAGGACAATGATCTTGCTGTGTTAGCCTTACAATCTTACTAGGAGATACTTCAAGCTCTGACTGTGATTTTACATATACAGCAATGAAGTCCTTTGTGCATTGAACTTCTTGAAAAGCTTCCAGTTTCCAAGTAAATTCACTTTCAAGTTGAATATTGAAAGGTGCTGGTTGTGTGTGTGTACCTCTCCCTTCTCCTGGACCAATCACAATGAAGCAGTTACCCTCATACTGTCTCATATATTCAGAAAATGCTGATCCATTATTGAAATAACAAAACAGGAGAGCTGCATTCTTGTTTGTAGTGATGTCACTTCCATGTGTTTCATCTGCATAGATTAATGGCAAGAAAATTGGTGGAGCATGTGAGGATTCCCACCAACCTCGGTCCACTTCTATGCCAGTAACCTCCAAACCTAATGACAATCAAGGGTGAAGTTTAACCACATTTATTCACTTGCAAGGGATTCCTGCTAAATAATACCCCTCCTTGACCAAGTGTTGATAATCTCTTGGTAAATTTTCATATCTGGGTAAAATGTGGTGATAATGTACTAGATAATACAACAGAGAACGCAGACTGTGTGAGGTTCTTTTGATGAATATTTTCTACTTCTTTCCTTAAACATAATCATTTGCTAGCTAGCAATTTAAAACTAAAGATTTCCTAAGCTGAAATAACTCTTTTCTTTTCTAGCAATTTTAGATATTACCAGTAGCTTTATGTATAAGCCATTCCAGTAGTCCAGTTCCACATCCAATGCTAACCAGCTGATAGCATCCAGCTTTCACAGTTTGCTGTTTGATGAACTGCAGATTATTCTCAGAAGGTCGTACCCAGAGGTAACGCTCATCGTAGAAATTCTCATTCCCTTCTCTGACTTCCTCATGAAATAAATTGATAATACTCTTCCATTTTCCTGAAGTGGAAGAATTAGTTACAGAACTTTTTTAAGAAATACTTCACAAAAAAGAATTAACTACATGATATCAGATCTACCTTTAGAATTTGATAGTTGCTTATCTGATAATTCAATTTAGCCTCTTTTTACAGAATTTGAAGGTCTGATACTGTTTTGACAAGGGCCTGCCATTGGTCCCTATCTTGAATCAGCTGACAAAATCTGTGATCATGTTTCTGAAGTGGTCTCTTCCCTTAAGATGTATCACTCAACAAACTTCTACTTCTCTCATCTATTCCTTAATTATTTTCTATAACAGACACCATTTAAATTCTGAAGTAATATCCAAGAACATAAATGGCTGATTTAATGCTTTCATTGTTCCTGTCACTTTTACTATGTCCACTGTTATGAGAAGTGTTCAAGTTTGGCATTATGTATGCATTTTATGTAATCACTTAAGGGAGATTAAAAACTAAACTAATCATTCTGAATGTTTTGGGATTCAATACAGATCCCAATTTGCTGTGCTTAGTCTAAGACATTGTGTAACCCCAGTGGAATGATAAAAAGTATGAGGTTATTATAAGAAATTACAGCAGCATTAACTGGGTGAAATTTAAACTAATGTTTTATGTTGTGAAAATGTATGAAACCTACCATGTTTATAGTATTGCAGCAGCTTTTCTGTTATCTCTTTCTTTATTTCATCTTTCATGCTGACCACATAGGCTTCACAATATAACTGACCATGCAGTATAGTAGGTTTCATAAAAAAGAGTCTAAAATTGTTGGCACACAAAGTACAGGAGAGAATATAATGCACTAAGCTACAAATATGATTGAAGGTAACATATAGTTTTTTAGTTTCAGTGATTAAAAATTGGATAGGTTTACTTGAAGTCAAATAATGTGATATGTGTTACTTCATTAACTCTTGCACGTGTGCTTTTTATTGTAGGAAATTAAGAAAAGAAGGATTTAATGTTATGAACAGACTTTTGCATATTATTGTACAGTAGATAAATCTGGCAGGAAAAAATAGCATTGGTGATGTAAATGCTGTATATAGGTCAGTTGGCCTTGGTCAAGGTTTTAAAGACCATACCATTCAACAAGCAGTCATAAATAGGACTGTCATTGAAATTACTCCTTGATACCATTTCATCAGGCTTCAGAAAGTAGATGATTTTGAAACAGAGACATATTCATCACTTGGGTAATTTGGAAGGAATTATACTACAACTAGTAACCAGGTGGCATATTACAGCAGGCTTGTCAAACAGTTGGCCTACGGAGGGCCATTATGCCTTTTAGATGTTGGAAAATAACACTTTCTTTGCCCTCATGTCAAAACATAAAATTTCATAACAGTACTATAGAAAACTGTGTGTTGTGTTTACTACTGTTTCTGAGCCTTGATGTGCCTCTCCTGCATGTAATACTGCTGAGTTGAATGAAGTTTTGAAGTGTCAGTCTTAAACAAATGATTATAACAGTTGAAATTAATCATATACTTGTAAAGCATAATTACATGTCTTATTTTTTACCATGTAATGGTTAAATCTTTTCTTCTTCTAATATTATTTAGGTTTCCAAGAACAAATTATAAAATTTGAACAGAAATGTATAAGTTCCATAGGCTTGTGTTAAGGTTAGGCAGAGTAGGTTGTATTGATTTCTTTATGTATAGTAAAATCTTTGATGATGACACATTACTTGAAATGGGCATAGCTATGGGTAGATAGCAGTCAGAAGTACAGGAACTTTAATGAACTACAACGGACAATTGAAAATGAATCAGGTAATACACAGATTCGCAAAATAGGATGATTTCTTTATTATTTCCCATTTAGAAGAATTACATTTAATCTAGACTAATTTTGTTTATTTATGGTATGTATTTCAAATATACATTCCTAGTGACTTTATTGAAATTGTATTGATCATTTCTCCACACAACATCAATAAAACAATTTATTGCTGCGATACATCAGATATTCTTCAACACACACAGATCCTCCCTGTGAATACAGAATCTGCCTGCAAAGGGTCACATGAACGTACGCCTACATGAATGATTTCTACAATCCTTGGAAACACTCCAGTTCGTAAGATTTGATATCTCGAAATAAAAGCCCGATATTACATACACTTGTCTGTGAGTTATCTATGGTGGTAACGTAATATAGTTAATGCACGTGTTATTGGTGTCCGTGTTTTGTTGTACTGTGTTGGATGCCGTGAAGATCGGAAAAGTTTTGCTTGAAATTTAATATCCTGTTTTTCATAGTGATCATTGTTTATTTCCACGCTTCATCAAGATGACAGCCTTTGAAGGTAATTGTCCGTCTGATGTCTGTAAAGTCTGTGAGCACCATATTTGACTTTGATTTGAAGATATGTTAAATAGAGTAATTGAAAAAAGTTATAGTCGTATCAGAATACATTTTGATTCAAAAATTGTGGCCACTAAATACCTTCATTGTGCTAACTGTAAATTATTTATTCATTTATTTTTGTATATGCACTTATTTTAACATGCCGGTATAACCTACAACGGTGGAAGACACATTATTGCATGAAAAGTTTTGGGGAAGAAGGGAGCTTTATAAAAAAAAATCGTAAATTTAAGCATAATTCTGCGTGGTTGAAATACTATTTGATTTTTTTTAATTTTGTGGAGATTAGCGAGGATGTTTATTTAGATTTCAGTTTCCCACAGCAGTGAGTATCAATATTGCTGTCTTTTGGATTATTGCACCGTATAGTGTGGTAGAAGAAGTTTACAGACGTTTTAGAGGTGCTTCCTTCCTCCATCAGCACTTGTAAAACGTCAGTAAATTTCTACCAGACTTATTAGCGCAACAACCCAGAAGACAGCCATCTTTTATATTGATTTAGGCCAAATGGTTTCAGTACTTTAAATTTGTGTTTTAAATCTTAAATTTTTCCGATCATTTTCCTAGAAAGTACAATTTAGGTGATACAAGTTCTTGTTTTTTCCATTTGATTTTGAGTCCTGATAGCCTGAAGAACATTCATATTGATATCACTTGGTTGGTCTTGACAAGAGTATTTCTAACATAAGTAGATGATTTTGTATATTATCATAGAGGTCTGTGTCTGATTCAGTTGTTGTAACTAGCAGAGTTATCATTCACCTAACTGCTTAGGAGTTTATTCTGGTTGAAAGTAATTGTAGTTTTTCATATGCAATGGAAGGTTGGATGGATTGATTTTATTATTGATGTTGATTGTAAATAATGGAGTTTTGGTTCAACCAAAAACTGTTTATTTTCAGAAATGGGAGTTTTGCCAGAAATAGGCAAAGCAGTTGAGGAAATGGATTGGATGTAAGTATGTCATGTAAGATTCTGTGGTGCTTTCAATTTTTATAAACCATATTTTACTCTGTTACAGGTTGTTCCATTTAAAATTTGACTGTGATTTTAACAGTATTTGTGAACTTTGGTGACAAGTTTCCTTTTTTTTATTATGCTGAACAGCTTTATAGGATGTCTACCATCTTCTCAGGGACACAGACATTTCATGTGCCCTTAAAGTTTGTTACCATTCTGTATATTGTTGTCTTAGTCAGTAATTTCTTGTAAGAATACAAATTGATAAATGCTTCATGAACAGTGAAAGCAGCAGATGATTTTGATGCAAATTAATGTTTGAGAGTAGACACACATTCTGCTTGTGAATACACAATTTTTGCACCTCCACAACTTTTATGCAACTGACTTGGGGAGTGGTTTAGCAACAAGGGTGACCTTGACCCAAGTATCACATGGGGTTGGACATGCTTCTTATTTTGTTTTTATACCACAGTATGTGGTTGTTTTTGGGGTTGCATTTTAAATGGTCCATCCTGTAATTTATTATATCCAAAGCTTCAGGTGGGTGGGTTTCTGATATCTCCAGGGGGTGGTCTGGTATTGTCTTCCCTAGTCTCTGCTGATCATAGATAAGTCTGGAATACATATCTGAGGTGGGAACACTCATAGGGCAAATACCATTACATCCAATGGTCAGTAGGGTGAATGTAAGGATGATGATCAGCACAGGAAACTACAGCCCTTTCACTGTAAAGAATGGAGCAGTTCTGTTATGTGGCAAAGCGTTCTTATTCATTATGGACAGAACTGTTTTGCTGAGTATACAGGTATCAATTTTTGCTTCCAGGAAGTACATATAAAATTGGAAAGGGGAGGGGGGAGTGAGCAGAATGAAGTCATAAATGACTTAAGCACAAATTCAGTTTTAAAGATAAAGAAAAAATAGTACTGAGATAAAATAATGCATTTTATCTGAATTCTGGCAGGTGGGCTGATACACAGTTGGTTGACATATTTTTTAATCAACAAGAGTGAAGTGTGTAATATTTTATGACCTATTTTAAGTTTAAACATTTTCAGTTTACTTTTTCTCCAACTGTTTTATCTGTAATATTTAGGCTTCCAACAGATGTCCAGGCAGAAGCCATCCCTCTCATTTTGGGTGGTGGAGATGTCTTGATGGCAGCAGAGACTGGTAGTGGAAAAACTGGAGCTTTCTGCCTTCCAATTATTCAAATTGTGTGGGAAACATTAAAGGACTTAGAAGCTGGGAAAGGAAGTAAAATCATTGTACAGATCTGTAAGTGTTAAATGAAGAAATTCCGAATTTTTAGTGGTACTTAAAACATACCAAATTAAGAACATGTATTATGTCTGTATTTCATGCAAATTGACTGTGGTCTTTCATTTTAGCTCCACATTGGACTTTAAGCTTCTTTGATCGAGGTACAGCATTAGCTGTTACACCAGATGGATTGCGCTGTCAGTCACGGGAACAAAAGGAGTGGCATGGCTGTCGTGCCACAAAAGGGGTTCAAGGAAAGGGGAAGTATTATTATGAGGCCATTGTTACAGATGAAGGACTTTGCCGAGTTGGTTGGTCAACACAACAGGTGGGATAGCACACAGTTAACGACATACAAATATCATTGTCTGTTGTGGATTAAATTCCACTTCATACTTCTAGGAAACTAAGTCATGGTATAATAGCAGTTATATTTCATGTATAACGAAACTGTTTAACTGCTCTATAGCAGATATTGTAATTGCGTCATATTGTGATTCGTATATTAAAATATATATTAAAAGTTACAGTCACACACAATTACAATAATAAAATAATATTAAAAGATTTAAAACATCATTTAAATACACTGCTAGTTTCGGCTACATTCAGCCATCGACGGGTGTATGCTGTATAAACCTATCACCATTTTACTGATTTATAACGTTATTCATATTTCACTGTCTTCATTCTTGATGGTGTTCTTGTTTTTTACCATTGCTTGTTTTGTTGCACTATCATTAGTCATTTCTGGGTTTACATTTTGTACTTTGTGTTGGCATCATTTTTGTGACCAAGAAGTAATATCACACTCGTAGTAAGTGAACGGAGAAGACTGGACTGCACAGGATTGGGGCTGGCTCTATAGCACTCATTCTACAGATGAACGGCACATCCATTCTCAGTAACCTTGGCCCAAATTGTAGCAAATGATCTGGACATCTAGTATTAATAAGGACCAAAAATATAGCCAGGTACCAGCACAGTACTTGGACTTGTGTTTAAACATTTATGGGCACATTCAAGAACATAATTTAAATATGTTGAGCAAGTAGGTACTTTCTCATGTAGAGAAGAAAAATTAGAAGTTATAGGTTCAAATTACACATAGGCAGGCCTGCACAAATCTCAGGTGCTAGGTCATTATGGCACCTAAAATTGTCATTATAACCCCAAGGATTTTCTACGTATTATTTTGATGGTTTTTATTTTTGCATATTGTTATGTAACATTAACATGAAGATGGATCTTAGGAAGGTGGGTTGTGAGGATGGCAAATGGATTGAGTTGGCTCAGGATCGTGGCGAGTTGCGGGTTTTGGTGTTGCCAATGTTGAACCTGCGGGTTCTGCTACCAGGGAGTTAGTTAGTTATGTAACATTGTGAAATTTGTGTAGTGTAGTTCCAGTTGCAGTGTGTGGGTGGAAACTTTTGCTTTGGTGATCAAATGTATATAAATATTATTTCCATTTCTGATGCATGTATTCTGGCTCCTAGTTTCTGGAAGTGGCTCCTAAATTTATAGGAAATGTGTGCAGCCCTGCTCATAGGTATATCTTATACTTAAGAGTTGTTTCAACTGTGTTGCATTGTTTTAGCAGTGGTAAATATTAACTGTTTGCAATGAAGATAGAGCATATTGAATTTGGGAAGGGTATAACAACATTTAGTTCAGCATATTTTATGGCCTTTCTTCCCCCCCCCGTTATATGTCAGTTTTCTTTTGAGTATTCTTGTGTTGATTGGCATTACACTATATAGCACAGTTTAATTCAATTATTAGGCAAGTCTTGACCTTGGGACAGACCGGTTTGGATTTGGCTTTGGAGGAACAGGCAAGAAATCAAACAATAAACAGTTTGATAACTATGGAGAAGCATTTGGTATGCATGATGTGATTGGCTGTTACTTGGACTTGGGTTCTGGAGAGATTAAATTTTCCAAGAATGGTGTTGATTTGGGGGAAGCATTCACCATACCACAACAGCTTAAGTCGTCTGCTTTCTTTCCAGCTGTTGTTCTTAAGGTAAGTGAGACCATATTATTTTTATGAACCTATTTCTGAATTTACGTATTGCTTCAAATGTAGACGTAAACATAAAAAAGTATGCATCAAACCTCAATAAAGTATTTAAATTTGTTACTTACATAAAAATGTATAATAACAAGCAAAAGTAAAATAGTTTTAGAGGAACAGACATTCTTTATTGAGAACCGTGTTTAAGAGTTGTGAGGCTGAATATCTACTGTAACTGAAATGTTTCACTTTTCCTCAATTTTTTAAGGAGACTAGCTGCCAAGTAGGCCAAAACCACTACTTCAAGATACTACATACATTTCTTTGATAATAAAATATGATCATTATGTTCCAGAACAGTTATTTGTAAGGAAATGAAGCAGAAAGTAGAAATATTAAGCAGGTGATGTAGGTGGCAGGCAACTAATCCTGATGTCACCCCCCCTTCCCCTCTCTGATAATACGTTGCCATTATATTTGTCTTGAGAAACTAATCATTTTGTACATATGTGTTAATTGAACAAATCAGATTTTTTAATGACAGATATTAAGTAGAAGATGTATGTTTTTAAATTCTGTATGAAAGTTGAGATGACAGCAAATGGAATACTGAAAGTGCTAAAAACTGCATTTAGGATTCAACTGTCGGCCACTTGATATTAGGTTCATGGTGGTCAGGCTTTCAAGAAAGATTAAGTTGGGTGCTCTTGTTAATTGATGTTGCTGTCATTCAAGTTCATGTGATATATGTAAAGACTGGATAATGACAATTCCTCACTTCATAAATTTCTTGATTATGCATATTAATTTGCATGTAATATTTGGGAACAAATTTAACTGAAGTATAATTAACATTTAATACCTTTTCAAGACATATATGTTTATGTCACTTTTGCCCTGCTTGCATTTGAAAAAGCCGTATATGGAGTCTTGTGGACACTTGTGTCCTGAGTCCATGCTGCACTTAACATTTGATTCTAAGTTTGTATTGACATGGCAGCAACATTAATTGGATTTGTGTTGTGCTCCTCAGAATGCTGAAATGTCATTCAATTTTGGTGCCCAACCTTTTAAATATGTTCCTGAGTCTGGTTGTATTGCGTTGTGTGAGACATCAAAGGAAAACTTGAAGCAGAATGATGTAGGAAGTGGAGGTGCTACATCACAGAGCAAATCTGTCAAAAATGCTCCACAGGCTATCATAATTGAGGTAAGCTTTAGCATCAGCAAACAAGAGGAAATATTTATTTACTTTATCATAGTTCACTTCTCTAGTTAACACCTTAAATCTAGTTCCTTGTAACAGTTTTATTATTCATGAAATTAGCTAGTGTTGGCAGTTGAGAATTACCAATCTGTGTTGCTATTATATTTATCCACTACTGCAGACAGGTAGTTTCTGCAGCATTTTATCATTTGTTTGTCCTTTAATTCATTTTTCACTGTTGGTTGAAAAAAGTGTCGGTTTCATAGTATAAGATATCCTGAAAAGATGATAATGTGAGAAGGAGGGAAATTCAGGTACATGAGCATTCTTGTTCTTTTGTAAGTAAGTTGCTCTTATAGTATGTGCCTTTTTTGTCACTGATTTAATGCATTCTCTTAGACCACTTTTTATGTGAGAACCTGTTTTGAGGACAAATTAAATCTTTCACACATTTTTCTTAATTTTTTTTGTATCTTTGCTTATTCCTTTTTATTTGTATTGGAGGTTTTCTCATGGGATAAAACTGATGGAGTGTGAAGCTGACTACTTTCTCATATCTATTGCTGAGGTTAAGAAAGCATGTTTTATGTCTATTTGTTTTATTAGTTTTATTTTTTGTTAATTGGCTTTTTCACAAGGTTCATTTCTTGGTGCTTAAGATACAGGGACAACATTATTTTTATGTTTAGGTTTATGGAGACAAATATGTGAACATTGTGTTGAAGAAGATTGGACAGACCAGTTTTTTTCTTGTATGTTTTTGGTTCTTTGTTTTGGTAATTGTTGTAATTCTTGTGACGTTACTTTCATTTTGTTATGTGTATACAAACTATAATTTATCATTCTTGTCTAGCCTTCTCGTGAGCTTGCTGAACAAACTTACAACCAGATTGTAAAATTCAAGAAACATCTAGAGAATCCTTCAGTAAGGGAGTTATTAGTCATTGGTGGAGTAAATGTCAAGGATCAGATATCTGCACTTAATGCTGGGGTAAGTTACTATGTTATTTTCTTGTCAGAAAGTTATGGAGAAACATTGTCTCATTTGTTAAGGGTAGTTATTATTTTTTAGACATTACTGGGGTAGTAAATATGATAGGAAAGGGATGGTTTCATTTTATGAAACTTATATTTGTGGGGTACAGGATATAAATGATTACTGAGAATTTGGTTTTATTCATATGATAATTATACATTGTTCCACTTAAGTTCTCATAATTATGAGAGTTGAAGTTGGAAAATTACCAGAGAACAAAGCAGGTATTACAGCTTTTGTGAAAAAAGTTGCCTGAGCATTCACCAGTACCAAACATTGTTCATTTTTGTCTTTGTTTGTACATTTGATTTTATTACGCATTTACCCTTGTACACTTGCAGACATAAGCATATGATGCTTTTCTTTTTTGTCATATGTGTCTGGCACCATGTAATAGTTTAATGACATTAAGAAAATTCTTGAACAAAATTATATATGTATTGTGAGCACTCAAGTGCTGTTTTGATTTATCATAAATTGCAAGAAATCAGTTACAGTAAAGAAACATGCGAGTCAAAATGAATGAATGCTTTTACCATTATACGTAACCCATTGATTTGTGAGGTTTCATATTTTTTATCATACCTAAAGAGTAGTTTTTCTGGAAAGGATATGTATGGAAGGAAGCAGTTTTGGCCTAATTTAAGCCGCTATCCTGGCATTTGCTTGTAGGGACTCTAGAAAACCATAAAAAACTCGGGATTGTCATTCTCCAGGCTGACATTTGAACCCTTATCTTCAGCATATGAAGTAGGAATGCTAACCAGATAACTGAAATGTTCAGTCAGTTCTAAATAGATAATAGTTCACACCCTTCTTAATATTAAATCTCTAGTTTTTCCTATGCACTGGAATGTCTGCATTCAATATCAGTTTTTCAAAATTTCTCAAATTAGTTTCACCAAGTAACACATGACCAATTCTAAAACAAAGCACAGTGTAAGTATATGAGCATCCTGACTGAAACAAAGTCGGAGTATGCATGTACATGCTTATTAATGCATGCCTATTAAGAGAAGTTTTGTTACAGAATGGATGTCAAATTTGTTGGTCTGTTGAAAATTTGTATTTATTTTCAGGTGGACATTGTTGTTGGTACTCCAGGAAGAATGGAAGACTTGATTTCTGCTGGACACCTCTCTCTCACTCAGTGTCGTTTCTTTGTACTTGATGAAGCTGATGGACTGCTGAAGCAGGGATACACAGATCTGATTGATCGACTGCACAGGCAAATACCCAAGATCACATCTGATGGGCGACGCCTTCAAATGATAGTTTGTTCAGCAACACTTCATGCATTCGAAGTTAAGAAGATGGCTGTAAGTTTGCGTGGCACAACAGCTTTAAACACAGCCATCTTCATACTTGCTGTTGAGACAACCTGAAATCTCACGCAATATATAGACTGTCCTTTTCAGTTAACAATTACAAATTTTGAGTGAAGGGAACTATTACGTTGTGTTTTACAGGAGCGGTTGATGCATTTTCCTACGTGGGTTGATTTGAAGGGTGAAGATGCTGTACCTGAAACAGTACATCATGTTGTGGTAATGGTAGACCCTCAGAAGGATACAAGCTGGCAAAGCCTACGAAAACATGTTCAGACAGATGGTGTTCATGCCAAAGATAATGTTCGTCCTGGAAACAATACTGCAGGTGAACAACATGTACAGTAGTGCACAGTGCCTTACAGAGTTTGTAAAACATGAAATAATAAATTCAGTAATAATTTTGAATTTGTAAGATAAATTTATAACTATAATATGAATAGGAACGTACACATATACATGTTGAATTATAGTTTAACACTGCTAGATGCGTTGAGTAATTAATCCAAATTCTTGTTCCCCAAAATTCTTGAAGATTGCTGTCTTCTGGGTTATTGTGCCGTGTGATCTGGTAGATTTCCAGACTACACAGCGCAACAACCCAGAAGACAGCACTCTTCAGACTCACCACTTTGAAAACCTCAAATCCTACTTAAAATGCTTGCTTACATTTTTTGGGAGATTTTCTGTTATTTATCTGTGTTGGAGAGGAAGATTGTCCTTGCTAAGAATTTGAGACCTATGATAGGTAACAAATTCATTAGCCAGGATGGTCCAGCTGAACAAGAAAGATTGAGCTCATGTTGAACAGCATTTTGTAACAGGAATTCTTCATAAAGTTTTTTTCAGAATCTGTTTTTACAAAATTTCCAGGAATATATAAATTCTCTTCTGTTTAGTAGGCATGTGATTAACAGACACTATCTTTCATACAGAATATGAGTGACACTTATGTTAACAGTAATTAAAAATTTAAATATTATGAAATGTAATCTTCTAATATTGGACTTCAAAATAATTTGATTTACAAAATATAAGTTACTGATCGTATGAAAGTCCTGCAGATTATTGATGACAGAGGCTTCCATTAATTTATCCATTATGAAATAAAAACTTGTGATTCATTATCTGCGGAAGGAGTGCCAACTGATATTAATGTTTCCAGAGACTCTATCAGAAGCAGTGAAGATGCTCAAAGGTGAATATTGTGTTCGTGCTATCAATGAACATAAGATGGATCGTGCAATAATTTTCTGTCGTACCAAATTGGACTGTGACAACTTGGAGAAGTATCTCAATCAAATAGGTGAGTGGTAATGATAATTGTGCATGTTTTTGAGTTTATGAAGGTGACTGAGGAGACATAACATGTCACATGCCCTAATATCTCGCAGGATGACGATGATATGATGAGGGTATAATGAGATTAATCTTTTGTTATTACAGTAGACACAAAACAAATTGATATTCCACACAGTCCCTCTTGACTCTTGGTGTGACTGAAATTATGTTAAAGTATTTAAAAAAATTTATGTACCATTAGTTCAGATTGTAATTCATAAGTACTGAAATATTTTTGGTTCAGTTGCTGCCATTGACAGACTGGTAGGTTCCCATTCATTGTCTAATGAATCAAATCAAGGCACTTCGATGATTGCCCATAACTAAGTATCACAGTTTAATTCAAGGTGGAGGTTCTCATAGTCGCAACAACCTATACTCCTGCATTTGTCTTCATGGAGATCGCAAGCCAGCTGAGCGTAAAGCAAACCTTGAAAGGTTTAAGAAGGAGGAAGCCAAATTTCTAATCTGCACAGATGTGGCTGCTAGAGGACTGGATATTAGAGGTCTTCCTTTCAGTAAGTGTATTGAATTTCCTTACACAATTTAAAGTGTTTGACTGTTGGCACAGAACATTTCTGTCCTGTGCAGAAACTGTTTGGGTGTTGCTGGTGTAACTATACTTCATAGATGGAAATGAGTCAGAGAAATGTAAGTGTTGTGGACTGTGTACTGACATTTTTGTGAAAGGGGTAAATATTTCTAATTTCTAGGCTTTCTATATATATATATATAGAAAGCCTAGAAATTGTGTTTTATTTAACACCACTGTAGCACAGACTGTTTAGTGTCAAGTTATGGGATGTTAATGTAAATGAATTGGAACAGACATGAAGGAATCAGTCACCTAATTTAAGGCATGGCATGTATAATTGAAATTTGTAAGATGAAAGACTCGATACCATCATCTGACCTACAAAGGAAATTATGAAAATTATATCATGGTGTAAAAGTTACATGGCTGCAGTTGGTTTCAACTCATCTGTCAAATGGAGACAAATCATAAATGTAATATGAAAAGGGTGAGCTAGACCCACTTAAAAAGTCTGCTATGTATCATGATCTTTGGGGCTGCCTAAGACTTTGATAGCATGTGATGATACTTTGTTTTAGTCTGGTAAAACCACAAAGTTTGTACTTTGTATATCATTGCAGTGTTTTGCTCTACATTCTAGTGATCAACATCACTTTGCCTGATGAGAAATCAAATTACGTGCATCGAATTGGTCGTGTTGGGCGAGCAGAAAGGATGGGTCTGGCTATTTCGCTAGTATCCAGTGTGCCAGAAAAGGTCTGGTACCATGGAGAGTGGTGTTCTTCTAGGGGTCGTAATTGCTGGAACACCAGGCTCACAGATGAAGGTGGATGCTGTATTTGGTTCAATGAACCTAGAGTAAGTATTTCTGGACATCCACTGACAATATACAGTAAGGTACTGTTTTTCAAGTTGAATAATGCACAGGGATTGTACTGTAAGTGAAATGAAATATTTATCATGTGAAGTACATCACTTGTAAGACTTCTTTAGAGATATTGAAATTTCTTCATTGTAGCTGGTAATACGTTTATATTCATGTGTGCTGTTCTTTATACTGCTTACAGGCTCAGTAATTGGCTTGTGGCATGTTAAATCTGATTTGTGCTCTGTACTTAACCTTTGGTGTTTATTTAAAGTTTCTGGCTGAAATAGAGGACCATCTTAATGTTACAATCCAGCAAGTAGAACCTGATGTCAAAGTACCAGTAGACGATTTTGATGGGAAAGTGACTTACGGACAGAAGCGTGCACAGGCAGGTAGGTTTATTTGCATACATAGACCTGTGATTCTGAAGTACAGCCTCTGGCTGTTTTTATGAAAACTGCAGGATCAATAGTAACAACATTTAAGGGTTCTCTGATTTTCTTTGTATCTTGGGATTTTGCTTTGATCCAGAATAAATTTGGTTCTGGATGTTTTTTCCTTGTACAGTAATTTTAATTTGTTAATATTTTGTAACATTTACATTAAAATTATATTTAATACAGCTTGTTAACATAATTTCGTTATTGATTATGACTATGACAAATTCAACGTGTGTTTATTTATTAATTTTAGTAAGTACTTCGGGCACAGGGATGGCATACTAAAGTGTAAATATTTACTTGTTCAAGGTTCAGGCTATGAAAACCATGTGGCACAAATGGCACCAGCTGTTCAGGAATTGTCAGAACTGGAAAGCAAAGCTCAGTTATTATACCTAAAGCGCCACTTTGGTAAGCAGACACGTAATAGAAACTGAATAATCAGCAGGTTTGTTGAATTGCTTATGTTTTGGAATGGAATTTCAAAAGTTGAATTTTCTTCACATTGAACTTATTTGGTACTGCACTGTGAAATTGTGAACTTCAGTCATATGATGACAAAATGGAGGTAGCTGCAAATTAAACTTAGCGCACCTGTTGAACAGGACAGTCATATGTTTATCGTTAATTAAATGTGGCATTCAGAATGAAACATCTTATTTAGTTATTTAATTTTATTCCTCACCTATTTTGGTGTATGTGCAGAATAATTTGAATTGAGATTAAAGTAAGCTAAGTAAAATATCCAAGAGTACATGGTTTAAAAAGCAGCACATACACATGTATTTGTTCAGTGAAATGAACTTGATGTAAAATATTTGTATTTTACAATTACGAAATAAAGTAGAATTGAAAGTTGTGTAATTAAGAGTAATATTCTCTAAGATCAGTATGTTAAGAGTAGTTTCAGTTTCTTATTCTTTTTCCTAAGACATTTCCAGTTTGTATGGGTTGTCTGACAATAAAGCCTGGGCATCTGTATCTCACTTCCCACAGCTCCTTTTCAGTTTCTTCTCGTGTTCTTCCCTTTTCCTGTGGTGCATTTGTCCTTACCAGATTGACGTGATTAATTTTAGTCTCCCTTTTTGTAATGTCTCTCTTATTTTCATTTTTAGGATCTCACATAATTTGTGTTTGAAACATGGTTATACCATCTTATTCTGTTTGTTAATTTGCCTTCCAAGTTGTCTGTCTTTACATTTTTTTTAATTTTCTCACTTTTGAATATCTCCGTGTTATATTTTTCCTCCTATACTTATTAAGAATGCCATCGTGGCTGCTGTTCAGCCTGCTAATGTTATGTTTAAGTTTCTGCAACATTATGTTAATGCTGTGTGAGTGGACTGTGCCTTTTGATTTTCTGAGGTTGCTAGAACTAAGTAGACAGCTGTTACTGATAATGTACATCTGTACACCATTTAATAAGGTATTTATGATTCACACTATTATGTTAAAATGGATGCAAGTAGCCACACAAAAAAATGTTTCCATTAGCCCTTTAAAGTGAAAGCTCATCTAAATAATATTTAAGAATCCAGTCTGTACTACAAAGAAGTTATGTAAGTTATTCTATGAGAAGTGAATCAAATTCAAGGAACAGTTTTCTAAATTATCAAGTGGTTAAGTTCAGCAACCCTGCACACAGTGCTCATGCATATCATAATTTTTTCCTTAATGATTGTCCAGTAGAGTAAGAAACTGACTTATAATGATCAACCTAAGTATAAATGATGCAGATATAATAACGCATTCTGTTTGATCTTTCAACACACTGTTTAAATTTGTAATCAATTTTTTCATTTCTTACATGAGGTATGTAAGAAGAGAAAGTGGGACCCAATGTGTCACATGAAGAAATTTTGGAACACATTAACACTTATGCCATCTGTTAACAGTCAAAATGTGTTAAATCAATTAAATTAAATTTTATCTGGTGATGCCTCTGATGGAATACCTATCACTGATGCCACATGTGGTGGTTTTTTGCACTATTGTACATTTAAAATTTCAACAATAAAGGAGTAATATGTATATATATAGTAGATCCATGTAATCTAAAAAAAAAATTCTTTTCAGAGCATCTATTGTGCCGTGAGTTTGTTTTTAGGTTAAATGCTGTAGGGGCAGTTGGTGGACAGTAAGATGGAAGGTTTGAATTAAAGTCGGGCATTACATTATGGGCATTTCAGTTTGGAGTGCGATGAAACAAAATTAAGGTCATTGGATTGAAATGTACCGATTGCAAACGCGTTATAATTAAAACAGTTTCACTACTTGTTCCAGTATGTGGTAAACGTTATGGGTAGACTTTTCACGGACAATGCGCATGAGCAGCAGTAGCCGCCTCTGTTG